TCTGTCCCACAGAATGGCTGATAGCAGTAAGGGAGGTGGGGAGGGTTTTGCAGAGAGCTCACCCATTTGGGATGATTGACAGTGGGCCCTGCCATATGCTGGCTGGCCCACAGAAGGGACAAAGAACAGCTGTGCCCTGGTCTCAGCTCTGTGCCTGGGCTTCCTCTCCATGACCCAGTCTGTTGGGACAGGGCCCCGAGCTGTCAAAGCACCCACATTGGGACACACACACACACACACACACATACACACAGCCCAACTGGGATCTGAGGCCAGGGGTAGCAGGCGCATCAGCCGGAGGACAGAGAGGTAGGGGAAGGTAGGATTCCCAGCAGTTGTTTCTGGAAGGAGGTCAAGTTGGAGGGGGAGGGGCACAGCACGGCCCTTCTTATACCCTCCTTCTGGAAGCACCCGAGGCCCCTGACTTCCACGTGTAGGTTGTCTATAAGGATCCCGCAGACACCATCTCCTTGGCCCCCTTGGGCTCCTCCTTAGTTGAGGACACCCTGCAGTCTGCGTCTCTTCCCCACCCCCATAGACCTCCCTCTCCCTCTCGCTCTCGCTGCTCTCCTGCCTGGAGCTGAGGATGAGGTTGCCATGGGAACCCGAAGCGCAGTGAACAGAGGAAGGGAAAGGCAGGGTTGTCTCGCCAGGGCTGGGGGCTGCAGGGAGGGGACAGGCTGACCCAGCCGGAGGAATAGAGCCTGTGCTGCGTCTGCCGCCTTCCTCTGCCTGGAGTTGGGTTTAGGGGGCAGTAGTAGGAGATTGGAGGCTCTGGGGCTTCTCCTTTAATCTAGTTAATCTGATGCAGGATTAAAATCCTTCCTCCACCCCTGCTGAATTAAGCCAAGTCAACATCTAGGCTGGCCCACCCCCTCCCCCTTCCTGTCTGATGGGATTAGTGTTCCTGGCTCTGGAGGGGGGGGCTGAGCTGGGCGGAGAGTCATGGTGGTTCCAGAGGACAGAGTACCTGCCAGCCCCATGCGGGGCACTGCCTGCATGTGACAGGAGCTCCTGAGACCCGGTGGGGTGCAGGGAACGGTGAGGGCCAGGGTAGGGCATAGGTGTGGGGATGGCTTGTGACATAGCTGTTGCTGTTGCAAGTGGACCCACTGTTTCGCTGTCTGGGAGACGCCCTTTGCTGCGGAGGGCACACATATGTATTCATCACGTGTGGGGCATACGCAGTGTGCAGGAGCTGAAGCGTGTATGGGGCGTATCAGGTGCATGTGTCTGGCTGTCCTTGGGCCACTGGAGCTGACCCTCTGCTTTAACCCTGTACATTCACGCAAATAGGAAACTCCAGTGTTTGCACTCTGGCTCCCAAGGACTTGTGTTTGGCAAGTTGCTAGCCACCGAGCCCCTGCTCCTCTACCCCAGGCTAACCTGCACCATCTTCTCAGATTATTCCTTTTTTCCTTCTTTTTTAAAGACAGAGTCTTCTGGCCTGTGATGCAGTAGTAATGTAGTGCCCTACAAGGCTGGAAACTACATGGCCAACTGTGGGTTCAGATCCCTGGGCTGGCCTGAAAGCACACCAGGCACGTGGGTGTCCGGGATCCTGAAGCCGGAGGGGCACGGGCCAGGGGATCTCAGCACGATGAGACCCCGTCAAGGTGTCGCTGTCTCTCTCCCATGCATGCCTGTCTACGTGTTTTCTGCTATTTTGGCACCTGAATAATTTATTTAATTTGTTTCTGTTATTTATTTATTTATTTTTTGGGAGAGGTTTTTCCTATAGGGCATGCACACTGGCCAGAAAGACACAGAGAGACAGAAAGCGATAAATCACCACCACCCCCCTCCCCCGGGGGAATGGCCACGCCGCAATCCCTCCTCCTCCATCCTCCTCTCGGAATCTTGGGCATGCACGCACACGCGCCTGGCGTGAGTTTAAGCCACCGGGTCCAGGACTCAAACCGCGGCCGACTACATGAGAGTTCAGTGACATAGCCATTACGCTAACTGCTGGCCCCTCTGTTATTTATTTTTTTTAAAAAAAGCAAGATAATGCTTCACCATGTCACAGTCCTCTTGCCTCCACCTCCCAGTCTGGAACAGTAAGAGCACACCACTGGACTGGGCCATTAAGGAGGACTGGAAATCAAACTCAGGCCTCCCACGTGATCCCAGCCTGTGGAGCACAGTGCACCCCATTGTGGGTGCAGCACCTATAGTGGTGCACCCCACTGCACCTGGGCCTTAGACTCTCCAAGTTCTGGATCAAAGCTATCTAGAGGTCTCTTTCACATCCCTGCTGCCCCACGCCCTCTCTGCCACGTGAGTCTCTAAAGATGCTGTCCTCACTGCAGCCCACCCGGAGGTGCCTTTAGAGAGGCTCTGATTCGGGATGAGGCTCATCTCCGAAGGCCTCCTTCCGGGGACCTCAGGGCCACCCAGTTCTGCTGGAAGTCTTACTTCAGTCCCTCTGCTCTTCTCCCTCTGGTTTTCTGGAATAGACTCCTAGTTAATCTTCCCTTGTCCTGGAACGGCTCAGGAATTTCCAATGGAGTTGCTCAGCCATGGATGGCCCTGGCCCTGGTGTGGAGCTGGGCCAAGCCTGGGGACTGGACCCCGGACTCAGTCCTGCATGTGTGCATGGGCTGTTTCCGTTGGCAGCTGCAGGCACCTGTGTTTGCTTTTCTCCTCCTGCTTCCTTCCCTCTGTGGGGGGAGCGGCCAGCTGGGCCTCAGCCGTGAGGCTGGGGAAGGGCACAGCCAGACTCACCGAGGTCCCAGACTGTGAAACTAGCCAGGGGAGAAGAGGATTTGCCAGAGTTCCCCAGGAAGCCCATGGCAGGGCTAGAGCCCAGTACTGTGACCTTTCTGGTCACACTCCTCTTGGTTGAGTTTTTCAAAGCCCATATCCTACCCTTCACAAATGGTGGCCCAGAGGGTGGTCACATGTTTACAGGTCGCTCTGGCTCAGGGTGCTACAGGTGGCTGGGAACTTGCCAGCTTTGGAAAAGCACAGGCAGGTGGGCAGTTTATGTCAGCTCTTAGGCACGACAGCCAGCCAGGGTGGCACTTGCTGGGAAGAGGTCCTGGGAGACCACCCAGCTCTTCCCTGGGGCAGCCTGTGAGTCAGGGACCTGCAGTGCTCACAGCTGGGTGAGAGGTGGTCACCCAGGGCTAAAAATGGCCAGACCTTGGGCTCCTGCTTGGGAAGCCACCCCTGGTCCCTGAAATAGGTTCACACACCAGCACATACAGAAGCCACTGACTCAGGGATGCGTCCCCTTTGGCTGGTTGGTTGGAAAACTCATGATGACCCAGGGAATGTAAGAGGCCCAAGTTCTAGTCCTGACTGCTTCAATGTCTGGTTGGGACTAAAACTTGGGAATAGCATTCCAGTTACTGTTCTAGAAGCTTGGGATAAATAAATGAACAAAGGAGATCAGAAACAAAAGAAAAGCCTTCCCTTGTGGAGAAATAGTGGAAAGGCCAGGCAGTAGACTGATGTGATAACTCAGTTGACTGTGAAGACTGCTGAGTGATGAGGGCCCGGCCGCCATACTTGTTTTCACTGTGAACTGAGGGGGTGGGGCCTGACTGCTCTGGTGGTCCTCATGGCGTGGCTCTGTGGGCTCCCCTCGTTTCTGCTACTTCCAAGCCTGCCCTCTCCCTGCACAGCTGGACCCTGGTCTGTCCTGTGCCTGGAGATTGGGTGGTTTTGTTCGGCATATTGGTCTCTTTCTTTTCTTTCTTTCTTTTTTTTTTCCTTGAGAGGTTTTTGCTATAGAGCTCGTGCGCTCACCAGAAAGACAGAGAGAGACAGACAGCGAGAAATCACCCCCCAGGGGGGATGGCCATGTTACAATCCCTTCTCCATTCTCCTTCCGGGATCTTGGGCACGCACGCACATGTGCCCGGCGTGAGTTTAAGCCACCGTCTGGGACTCAATCGCGGTCGACCACATGGGAGTCCAGTGACATAGGCATTACGCTAACTGCTGGCCCCTCAGCATATTGGTCTCAAAAGAGATGATCCGAGTGCAAATCTGGATCCCACCACTTACTGGCTGTGTTTCTTGGCCATATTGATAAATCTCTGTGCCCTCAATTTTCCCATCTGTCAAAGGGGGATAATGGCAGGGCTGGGCAGGTGGCAGAGAGAATTCGATGAACCAAGTTGTGTAAGTCCTTAGTACAGGGCTAATGTGAACTGTTGTTATTGTTTGTTATCTGTCACCCAAGGGTGACCTTCCTTTTTGGTTTTAAGCTGGTCTTCCTGCTACAAACTAACAATCTCCAATTATGCCGGACCTTGTTAGCTCCTCCCTCTTAAGGGAAAAAGCATCCCCCTTGAGGAATGGTCATGCTGCAAGCCCTTCTCCACCTTCCCCTCCTTTTGGAATTGTGGGCAGGCACGCGCATGCGCCCAGTGGGCTTCTCAAGCTGGGGGTCAGGATTCAAATGGTGCTGTCAGCTGTGTGGGATCCAGCCACCTTCACCACCACACCACTGGCTGGCCTCTTGTTAGCCCTTTGAAATGCCACTTTGGACAAGTGCATTCTCTTTCTTGCCACTTCCTCTGAGAAGCCCCCCTGGATATGAATGTCCTTTCCCTCTGTCTCTGTATCCCTCTTGTCCTCCATTCCCCCAAACCCTGCCCACATGGTTGGTCTCCATTTCTGGTCTTAACTGAAAGCTTGGCCCTGATCCTATGCCTGTAGATGCCAAGCATGGGTTGTCCCCACACAAGAGGAATCTGGAACCCTCAGAGTGTCCCGACAACTTCCTTGGCTCAGGATAGTTTTCCCCAACCTGCCAACCACTCAGGCCCTCTGTGCCTTCTCAGTCCGGCCAGCCCAGGCAGAGTCTGAGAAGTGCTTACCTCTCTTTGGCCACGGCCATGGCCACCAAGGTCCTGCGGCTGGGTCTGGGGCAGGGACTGCTCTGGGATAAGAGGAAGTTCTCAGGAGAGCCAGAATCGGCGAGAAGCCCAGAGGCTCCTGGCCTGGCCCCGGAGTGACCCACACTCTATTTTTATGTCCTGCAGACACTACCCCAAGCAGTCCTTCACCATGGTGGCCGACACCCCGGAAAACCTCCGCCTCAAGCAACAGAGTGAGCTCCAGAGTCAGGTGAGGGGCGGGGCTGGGCTGTGGCCTGGCGGGGAGGGCTGTCGTAACCCCACATTTAGCAAGGGCTCCTTCCCCTGTGGTCCTTCAGCAAGGCCTAGGTGCTAAAACCCTAGTCCTCGCCAGCCTACCTACCCCAGCTTGCACCCCGTTACTTCCTGTGTCCTGACTAAGGAGTCAGGGAGCATGCTGGCCTTCCTACCTAGGGCAGGTTGGAGAGGTGTGGGTGTCTGCTCTGGGATGCCCTAAAGTCTGCCTCCTCCAGGAAACTGTCCCCCCCGCCTCCTCTCTTTTCATACCCACCCACAAAGGAGGGGTTTGGGGCAGCCCCAGAAACGGAAACTTGCATCTCTAGGCTCGTGCCAGTCTGAAGTGACACAGCCCACCCACTCTCTAGAGCCATATCCCCACCCCTTCTCCAGCCTTCGAAGGGCAGGGTGTGAAGGGGCCCTGCCAAGCGGGGGAAACTGTCCTGCCTTTTCTCCTTAGGCCTGACTTTCCTGAGCACAGGTGTGTGGGGAGGGTTGCAGGCCCTTGTCACAGGCAGGGCCCCTGTCCCTCCTGGCCCAGAGGGAACTTGGTCTTTAGTGGACACTGAGGAATGAGAAAAGGGTCTGCTGCCCTGACGTCCCACAGCTACCCCTACCTGGGACTTGGGAGGGCTTCTGGGACAAGCCTGGCCTGCCGTGGGGTGTGATGGGGCGGGGCTTCAGCAGGGATTACGGTGAAGGAGAGAATACATATTGGGACTCACACAGTGGGCAGGGTGCTGGGGACCAGGAAAATGCTGGGCCATGGGGACAGGGGATCACTCCCCACCCCTCCAGAGTGGGACTGCGTGATTTCCACCTTGCCTGCCCTGCCTGGGTTCTGTCAGAGAGAACCACCCTCCCTGGGTAGGGCTTTCCATGTAGCCCTCCCATGGTACAGATGAGGCGCCCGAGGCACTGAGAGACTGGCCAGGGTCGAGCAGGTGCGACGGGTCGTTGCAGTAGCTGCAGTTCAGTGCTCCTGGGTTCGTGCAGTCCTACGGCAGCTGTGCAGGGGTAGGGTCAGCCGCTTTACAGCAGAGGAAGTAGAGGCTGCGGCTCTGAGCGCACGTTCGTCTACCGCAGAGGCTGATGTTCTTCCCGGTTTCCATCTGACTCTCTAAGGAGCACAGAGATGGCCCCTTGTGCTGACGAGAATGGCGGTAGTTTAGCAAGTGCTTTTAGTTACTTCGCCCCATTTATCCCAGACCCGACTCGGGGCGCAGGGCAGGGTGTAGGTGGAAGAGCTGTTTCCTGCAGTTTACAGATGCAGGAACTGAGGCAGAGGTAGGCACAGAGCTTGGGCCACCGACACCTAGAGTAAGAGGCTTTAGGACTGGGGCCGCTCGCTTTTTGCTCTTTAACCATGCCTGAGCTCTGCAGCCTGAGCTCATGCCTGCCTACTGCCCAAATGTCTCTGCCTGGGGAGGGACCCAGAAGAGGAGGTGCTGGCGGAAACAACAGCAGGTCTGGGTAAAGGTACATGTCCAGAGATAGGGAACGGGGGTGCACATGCACACACACACACACACACACACACACACACACACACACACACGGGGAGGCAAGAGACACACCCCTCCTGTTCTCAGGAGGAGAAATTCGAACCCCTCAGCCTTTGTCCATCCCACAAAAGCCAGGCTGCAGCTCTTTTTGCCTCTGGAACCTGATCCCCGAGAGGCAGGCTCTGTAGGAGGAAGCACACCCAGGTTGAGAAGCCAGCAGGTGACAGTGCTGCTGTTGCCTGGGCGGCTTTGGCCCTTCACAGAGAAAGTACAAGCCGCACCCAGGCTTTAGGGGCTCCTTTGCCCACCCCTGCCCTTGGCTTCCCAGGGGCCTGGCGTGCTCCTGGGCAGGTTGGGGAAAGCATGAGTGACGGTCCCTCTTCAGTAGGTTCTCACCGAGGCCCGGACTGTGCGACATGAGGCAGGCGTCCAAATGTTCCTGGGACATGGAATTCAAGTGCGAGTTTATTTTGGTGCAGAGAAAATTTGAAATTCATGCATAGTGTTTTCATCACACACATTTGCTGTGAGCTTTTGGGAGACTCCTCGTGTCCACCTGCCTCCATTTAGTCCTCCCCACCACCTGGAGGAGGGGCTCCTCTGCCCCTGGATGGATGGGGACTCAGATCTAGCAAGGCCACTCCACTTAGCCGGAGCTCAGTGACGGGCAGATCTTGAGCATTCAGTCTGGCCCCAGAACCCTTTCCTCTTAGCAGCTGACTCCTGTGACATGCTGCCCTGTCCCCAACCTGTAGGACACACTGGCCACCATCATGTAGGAGGGGGCTTGCTGGAATCCTACTGCTAGGCCCCACCCAAGGGACTTTTGTTTGGCAAGCCTGGGGTGAGGCCCAGGAACCTGCATTTGACCCTGAGTGGTTTGAAAGACTTGGAATGGGCCCCTGGGCAGGGAGGGGGACTGGCAGGAGCCATCGGAAGGAGCTCGCCCTGTTTGCTCCGAGGGGTGTGAGTCCTGGGAGTTAGGGCTTTGACAAAGGCCCAGCTCTACTCCCCTGAAGTTGGAGTTCTTGGGGCTTCAAGCTGGGGGCTGGGAGAGGTAGAGTGTGGGGAGGAAAAGGCCCTGGGCTCTTTGCGGACCTGGTTCCATCCCTTTCCACCTCCCACCAGCTGGGTGGTCTGAGGTTGGCCTCTCACCAGGAAAGTGGGCACAGCAACCCAGTTGCCTGGAGGTCAGGGGCTGGGCCGGGACGCAGGCTTGGAAGGGCTGAGCCAGCCTGGCTGGGGGCGGTGACAGGTTCTGGTTCCTGTGGCTGCTCTGGGGGCAGGGCCGCTAGCATGGCCTGTGGCTGGCGGGAAGGGAAGGGGGAGCCTAGTCCGCCTACCCGCCCTGCCCCGCCAGTCTGTCAGCTGGTCTCTTTCCAGAGCCCCTTCCTGGGCCTGCCTTGGTTGTCTCACTCAGCCCTTCCGGCCCTGGGAAGCTGCCCGTGCTATTTCACTCTGTTTTCCTGTCACTATATTGGTCCCAAAGTGGCACTTTGGGTGTCTGGGACACCTGGAGCCTCCCCCGTGGGAGGGGGAACCACAGAGCTGTCCAGAAATAACCCTCTGGATGGTCCTGCCCAGGCCTGGCAGAGCAGGGAGCTGGCAGCTGGGCCCCGCCCCCTCCTTCATCTGCAGCTCCCCAACCCCTGCACCCCCCAGTCCCAGGCTGGGTGGAGGCAGCAGCTTTGGGGTAGGCCTGAGCTGGAGGTCTCCCAACCCCAGACAGAAGTGCAAGCAGAGAGCCTCTCATGTTCTCTTCTGTCATACCTTCATGACCCTGTGGGAATGCCACAGAGGGGAGGGGAGGAGGAGAACAAGGAGAGCCTCACCTTATGCCCTGGGCAAAGTGTCCATTCTTACCTTGGGTCCTGAGACCAGCACAGCAGGCAGCGAAGCCGGAAACACTGCTCTTACTTGACAGGTCCCGTCCCAGATCTGCTTCCACTAGCTGTGTGACTTTGGGCAAGTTTTTTAACCTCTCTGTGCCACAGTGCTGTAAAATGGGGATTACCTTTGTCCAAGGGTTGTGTTGATAATATTGGTCTATGTTAGGCATTTTTTAAAAAATGATTATTTATTTAATTTTATTTATTCATCCATTAGTTTTAACTTTACCAGAGAGAGACACAGAGAGAGAGAGAGAGGGAAAAGGGAGAAAGGAAGCCTCCAGGTCCGGGACTCGAACTGTGGTTGGCCACGTGGGAGTGTCTAGCACCAAAACCACTACGCCAACTTTTGGTCCCCCTGTGTTAGGCATTTAATGGTGTCTGACAAGGAGTCAGTAAAGGTCCGCTATCACTACTCTCCTGGAAAGAGGAAATGGAACTTGGGCATGAGGAAGCTAAGAAATGAACACAGAGATCTCTTTTTTGTTGTTTTTTTTTTTTTTTTTTTAAGAGATTTTTACTATAGGGTGCATGTGCTCTCCAGAGAGACAGAGAGAGACAGAAAATGAGAAATCACCCCCCCGCCTCCGGGTAATGGCCACGCCACAATTCCTTCTCCTCCATTCTCCTTTTGGAATTTTGGGCATGCATCCACACACCCCTGGTGTTAGTTTTAAGCCTCTGGGTCTGGGACTCGAACTGTGGTCAACTACGTGGGAGTCCAGTGACGAGACCATTATGCCACCTGCTAGTCCCAACATAGTAATCTTTTTTATTTTTAAGGATTATTTTAGGGATCAGCAGGTCGCATGGTGGTTAGCGTGCTGGACTTCCACATGGACAACTACAGTTCGAGTCCTGGACTTGATGGCTTGCTTTCTCACTTTCACTCTCTGATCAAATTAAAGTAATAATAATAAAAATAATAAAATTATTGGGACCAGCAGTTAGTGTAATGGCTATGTTGCTGGACTCCCATGTAGTCAACCACGGTTTGAGTCCAAGACCCGATGGCTTAAACTCACGCTGGGCGTGTGTGCACACGTGCCCAAGATCCCGAGAGGAGAATGGAGGAGAAAGGATTGCAGTGTGGCCATTCCCCCTGGGGGGTGATTTCTCACTTTCTGTCTCTCTGTCTCTCTCTGTCTTTGTGGCGAGCACACACACCCTATAGCAAAAATCTCTCAAACATTTTAAATAAATAACTTTTTAAAAAATAATTATTTTATTTAACTTTACTTGTTTATTATTTTCCAGTTTGATCAGACAGAGAGAGAGGGAAAGTGAGAAAGCAAGCCACCAAGTCCAGGACTTGAACCACAGTTGGCCATGTAGGAGTCCAGGACCTTTAACCACCACACCACCTGTCAGCCCCACCAATATAGTGATCTTTGACTAGTTCTGCTTCCAGCCCCAGCCTTTGTCATTAGCTCTCCTCTCCATCTTTGTGTGTGATTTAAAAAAGGTTTCTTTTTTAAAAATATTATTATCATTATTATATTTAAACATGATACAGGCACTTGCCAGAGAGAGAGAGCGAGAAAGAGAGAGAAAGCAAGTCACCAGGTCTGGGGCTCAAACCAGCATTGGCCTTGTGGGAATCCAGCATCTTAATCACCATGCCACTTGCTGATCCCAAAACAGGTTTCTTTTTTAGAAGGTTTCTTCTATTAGGAGACAGGTTATAGTATGTGTGGGCCCAACACATAGTAGACATATAATAAGTATATATTATATAGGGGGGAGGATGGAAAGTAAGAAATCATCCCCTGGGGGGCTGGCCATGCCCCAGTTCCTTCTCCATTCTCCCCTTGGGATTTTGGGCACACACGCACATGTGCCCGTGATTTTCAAGCTGCCAGGTCTGGGACTCAAACCACACAGTGGGCCATATGGGATCCAGTGCCTTAACCTCCATGCCACCTGCTGGCTCCACTACCGTTTTTTGCATCAAGATCTTTCTTATCATTCTTGTATTGGGCCATCAAGGCAATTATTTTTCACATTGTGCCGCCTCGTTTGCTTGGAGATGATGCGGGTGCGTTTGGCTCCTTCCTCGCTTCTGCAGCAGACGTTGGCATGTCCCTGCTGTGTGCTGGGGCAGGGTGGAAAGCAGATGCAGGGAGATCACTAAGAACCTACATGTAAAAAGTAGATGGTGCCCAGGGCTGTTTAGGCTTCAGGGTCCTCAGGCATTAATCCTGGCCTGACTGTGGGACTTCCCAGGATGGGAGGCCCAGCTGTCCCCCAGGGATGGAGTCAGCTGTTGAAGTGCAGAGTTGTACTCTGACCCAACATACAGCCTTGATCAAGGGACCTCAGGCAGGTCCCTTCCCTGCGCAGGGACCCTGGTGACATGCTGCTGGTCCCTCCAGACCAGAGGGCAAGTGCTTCTGTTTCTAGGCTGTTCCTACCCCTTTTCACCAGAAGACCTCTCAGATAGTCTTCCCCATCTGGATTCTCCGGTCAGGCCTCACATGGTTACAGAATGGCACAGACTACAGGTGAGAGGCTTTTAGAGATCAGCTAGCCAGCCCCTAAGTGGACCCAGAGAGAGGCACCGATTTGCCTAGAGACACAGCAAGGAGGCGTGAGCCCAGGCCTTTCTCAGCCTCTGTTCCTCTGCAGCCAATTCCCTCGCTGGGCCTCCTCTGCTGGGAGCGAAATGAGTTATCCTTCCCCACCAGGGCGGGGGAGGCAGTTCCCGAGCCTGGGAACCAGTTGATGTCATTGAGTGCCACAGCAGTTATGTCCTTGGATTAAGGGCCTGACCCTTGCAAAGCCAGAAAACAGAGGAAGGAGGTGGGGACTGGCTCGTTTGGCACTGTGATGGGGACTGAGCACTTTCACATGGTGCCCCGCCCGTACGGGTTGAGCCCATTCTGTTCTGCGCGTGCTCCGTTCTTCAGCGCTCTGTCTGTCACTAGCCGGCATGCCTGGCGTTGTGCTCCCCACTGCATGTGGAAACCGAGGCCGAGTCTGTCAGTACTAGCTCCATCCCACTCTGCGCATGCTTGGTAGGAAGCTCCGCCCCGCATTTTAACTGGGCCCGGGGACAGCTCTTTTTACAGGTGAGGAAACCGAGAGCTGGGGCCTTAGAGTCGGGGCGTTGGCACTTGGAACTACAGTTTTCTGTCCCTGGGTGCCTCACCTTTCCAAGGGGCGCCCTGCTTCCCTCTGAGAGTCACAGTGCTGGCCCAGGCCTTCCTGGATGTGTGGATGATGGGTGGCTTCTGGGCCCTAGGGTGGCCTGGTGTCTAGTCCACTGCATTATCTTCAGGTCTGATAGGAACTGGCACACCCAGGCCTTTCTTTTCAGCCTGAATCAGAGCAAAAGAGGAAGAACTCCTGAATAGGAGGCCTGGGCTCTAGGGGACGAACAAGGACCCCTGACCCCTGACGGATGCGTGGAAGGTCTGGCAGGTGTGGCCGTGGCAGCGTACATGTGTGTTTTTGGTCAGGTCAGCATGCACATCAGTGCTGTGGCCAGATGACTCCATGCCTGGAAGCCGTGTGAGCTTTTCATCCTGGAAACTCCCAAGGTCCCCAACGCCATGTCCTGAGCTGACCTGTTTCCCCCATGGAGGAAATCCAGGCAGCTGGCGGGGTCTGGAACAGATGGCTGCTGCAGTGGACAGTGAGGGCCCTGGAAGCCAAGGCACTCCAAGCGTTCCCTGCCCCGTGAGCATTTCTCAGCCTCTGCTCTGTTCTTCGACGCCCTGGGGAGGACGAACTGTTCCTTGTATTGCAGCGTGTTTGGTGGCAGGGAAGTCCTTCCTGGTGTCAGACTTGAGCCTCTAGTACTTGAGTTTCCTGTGGCGTTCTCAGAAGAGGAGGGCAGCGGTATGGTGGAAGGGTTCTTCCCCGAGCTCGTTCTGAAATGCTGCCTGTCCCTTCCCAGCTTCCTCCCCTTCTGTGGCAGTGGCCTCGGAAGCTGGCCGGGCAGGCTCCAGGAAGCCGCCAGGGCCCGTCAAAGGCTCATTGATCCAGCTTCCCGGTGGCTGTCTCACACCCTCCTTTCTGGGCACCAACTCTCCTTTGGCACAGCCCTCCGTCAGCTGGTCACTTAAAAACTCACCCAGGCTTTCAGTGGGTCGGGCTGCATCCTGCCCAGGGTGAGGTCAGGGGCAGTTCTAGGCGCTCTGGAAAGAACCTTCTTCCTATTCGGCTTTCAGGCAGGATGAGCTGGCTTGAAGGGCTGGGAGCTGGGTGGTGAGGGTTTGCACCCTGGTGCCCCTGGACCGTTGCTGCTCTACTCTGGGACCTTGGGCAGGAGACCTTGCCTCTCCATGGCTCTGTTTCCTTATCAGTAAAATGGAGCTGATAAAATGTGTGTGAGATGTCGAGACTGAAACGAGATAGTTCACACAGGGCCCCTGGCACTACGCCCTCCACTCAGAAGGCGCTGCAGAAAGCTTCGTGGATTGACATCGTTATTAGCCTAATGCTTTTTGGCTAAGCCTTCTGCTTTGAGATGGCATTTCTGGGCAGGGCTTTCCTTTCTCGGACTCCCTGCCCCATCTCCTGACTGCTGGCTGCCTCCGAGGGGCCCCTGGGCTGGCCTGCTGCCCCTGGCCTGACTCCAGTCCCTCTTCCCTCCCTTGTGGGCCCTCCAGGTGCGCTACAAGGAGGAGTTTGAGAAGAACAAGGGCAAAGGCTTCAGCGTGGTGGCGGACACACCGGAACTCCAGAGAATCAAGAAGACCCAAGACCAGATCAGTAATGTAAGCCCCTGCCCCCACCCCCTCCTCCACCCCGTGCTCCTTGCCACCCTCCCTGCCCTCCTGGCAGACACCAGGAGGTCGGTTTCCTCCACTGCCCCTACTCTGGGAGGGTCTGGCTAAAGACTGCTTGAGCACAGGGAAGGGAAGGGCTCGGGGTTCCCAGATGCCTGTTCTCTGTGCACCCCAGACTCCCTCTTTGCCACCGTCGGCCCACATAGCACTTCCGCCTTGAAGGGACTATGCTCTGGGGGTGTGCGGGCAGGGCAGCATGCTAGACCCCCCTCCACTCTCTTTGAAGATGCTCTTTCCTAGCCCTGGGTATGTGGGTGTCAGGGTGAAGACTGGGATTTTTATCTTAGTGCAGAGGTCCAAACTGGGGGGCGGGGGTGGGCCTCCTCCTCCCTCCCCCGTCCTGGTCTGCCTTGGGGTGCTGACATTGCAGTCATTTCCGCCCTACCTCAGCCTCCTCCCCCACCTCACTGGCTCTTCCTTCCTGTGTAAAAACCCCTGCCGGTTGCCCGCTGGCCCCTCACCCTGTGGTCTGGGCCCTCCTGGCCCAGGGACAGTTGTCAGCCTTGGCTGTGACAAGAGAGGCACTGAATCCATGGTCCCGGTATCGTGTTCCCTCCCTGGTATCTGTGGCCAGAGAGCAGGCCTCGGTTTCCTGCTTGGCTGAGCCACAGACCAGCAGCCTGGGTGGCTCTGGGCATGTGGGGGCAGGGCACTGCCCTGAGCCGCCACCACAGGACACAGGCAAGGGACCTGTGCACAGGGTCCTGGGATGCAGAGCTGCGGGGTGTGCTCAGCCAGCCTGGGCTAAGAGGGCCTGCGAACTACGGCTTGGGCAAGTAGTTGTCTTCACATCTAGAATGGTCAGAAGGTTGTCTAGTGTCTCTTTGGGCTGAGAGACTGGGGATAGAGGCTGCAGGGGGCCTGGGTTTCCGTGGCCCAGCACCCTCCCTCTGGCCCTTTCCCCAGCCTCCCCGCCAGGGCGCTCCCTTCTAAAGGGCCATATTTTGAGCAGGCTGCCAGGTAGCTTTCAGATGCATGGGCAACCCGCAGCCTGCAGACCCAGCTGTGCACACAGCCAGGGCTTTCAAACTCTGACGTTCAACCTATAATAAGAAGCACGTTTTATGTTGCGTCCCACCACACAGCATGCATTTATTTAGGGAAAAAATAGAATCAAAACTTTTAAGAACTAGTACTTACTACTTTTAAGGCATTCAGGTCTCTTCTTCTTTTTTTTTTTCCCTTTTGTTTCTTTAAAGCTTTTATTTAATATTTTTAAAATTTTTAATGATTTATTTCAGCTGAGTTCTTCCACTTTTCGTTTGTTTAAATTTCGCTACAGGACATGTGTGCTCACTGGGGACAGAGAGAGAAAGAGAAAGCACCAATCCCTTCTCCATTCTCCAAGTCCAGGGTCTTGAACTGCGCTGTCGACCATGTAGGATCCAGCCACCTTAACTACCACACCACCTATCTGGCAGAATATATATATATATATGTATATATATATATATTTTTTAAATCATTATTTTATTTGAATGTATGTATGCATGTATGTATGCATTTATTATATTTGACGAGAGAGAGAGAGAGAGAGGAAAAGTGAGAAAGCAAGCCACCAGGTCTGGGACTCAAACCATGGTCAGCCATGTGGGAGTCCAGCACCCTTAACCATCACACCACTGGCCAGCCCCACCCTAAAACTTTTTTAAAATGTTTTTTATGGGGCCAGCCGGTGGCATGGTGGTTAAAGGCGCTATACTCCCACATTGCGATCGTGGTTCTAATCCTGGACCTTTCTCAGTTTCCCTTCTTTCTCTTTCTCTGTCTCTCTGATCAAACTGGAAAATAATAGTAATAATAAATAAAGTTAAATAAAATAATTTTAAGAACACTTTTTATAAGTATAAGAAAGAAAAAAATATTAATGTTATTTATTTCTTCTCTGAGTGAGAGAGACAGAGAGTGAGTGAGCAGCAAGCATTTCCAACAGGGTCTGGATGCTGCGATCCGCCCTCAGCCTCAGCTAGCTCCGATTGTGGGCAGGCGTGTGCCCCACATACCCAGGGAGGCCTCTGGATAGGAACCTAGAACTTTCCCACATGGGTCAGCCTCACAGAACATCATCTGTTACCACCAAGCCACTGTCTGCCCCCTTTTCTGTTCTATTTGACTGTGTGAAGATCGTGGTTGCAGACTTACTAAATGGGTTTTGCAACTAGGTTGGTGGCCTGAGGTAATAGGCGGCTTCCTTTGGGCTAGGAGGATGGGCTTCCTTTGAGCGAGGACGGGCCTCAAGAGGGCTCAGGTTCCTCTTCCCTCCAAAAGTCTCTTGTAGCTTCCTTTGTATTGCCAGGGCTGTCATAGCACCCTGGAGTGCCCCTCTGGCTCAGACCCTGCCAAGGGTAAAGAGGGTGGGGGAGGGGGAAGGTGGCCTGGGTGCCGGGAAACCCTGGAGCTTGGCCCTCCAGCCTCTGCGGGTTTCATGATGAAGGCCTTGTCCTTATCTCTGACGCCTGCTCCTGCCACTGCCCCAGCCCCCAGCACATTCACTCAGTGCCTCACCCATGGGTTTTGGAGGAGCGGGGTCATTCCTTCTCCTTTTCTGGAAGGCTTCCAGAATAGGCCATACCCAGTCCATTCCACCTACTCCTTCCCACCTCTCCTGTTCTTGGAGATGTTAATGATGAGTCCTAGTAATAAAACCTCAAAGTTGCCAAGAAGGTGCACCTGCAAGATAACCATCTTATCTTTAACCACAGGGCTGCCATTAGCTGATTATCCTCTGCTGAGGTGGGGGAGGTGACTTAAAACTGCCTGGGTTGCTGCTTCTGCAGCGGAGGCTGGGACCTCAGCTGGGACCCTAGTGCCGGAAAGCTCTTGGTCTCAGTAATGCAGTCCGTCAGACTCAAGTCTCCCAGGAACTGTGTTGGAACCCCAGGCAGCAATATGGCGTTTACAGAAAATGCGACTCACAGGCCTTCCTCCCCAGCACGCTCTGGACATGCGCGGTCTGTCCTGTCTTGCTAAGAGCAAGATGGTCCTGGGAAGAAACAGCAAGGGCCAGAACGCTAGCTTCTATTACTCAGTGGCTGGGAGACCTCTCTGAGCAGCAGTCTCTTCATTTGTAAAAGGGAACAGTAAGCTTCCTTGGAGAGGGCAGCTGTTAGGACAATGTCAGGTGCTTAGAACCCGGTAAGTGTTGTTGATATTATTTTTGTTGCTTTATAAGCAGACCTGTCTGATTTTTACACTGGCTAAGGAAGGGATAGAGAGTTAAATTTGGTTGACAAGTTTGGTCATTGTCTAATACTCAGAGTACATGAATTAAGGGACCGGTAGGTGGTGTGTGGTTAAGGTGCTGAACTCCAGACATGGCTGACCATGATTCGAGTCCTAGACCTGGCAGCTTGCTTTCTCACTTTTCCCTCTCTCTCTCACTCTGTCTCTGATCAAATTAAGATAAATAAATGAATAAATGAATAAAGTTAAATAAAAAATTAAATAGAATCTGTAGATTAAAATTTTGGAGGAAAGATGCTAATAAATTATATATCTCTAGTGAATAAATGTGTCATCATTAAAGACATTGAAAGGGACTAGAGGCCCCAGCTTTGAGCTGTGGAATGAAGCTTATATGCTGGGGATCCTGGTCTCTGGTCAGCTCTAATGGCTTTAATGGATAGGAAACTTCGGTTGTTGGAGTCCCTTTATGGGACCCTCTGCTTTTTTTTTTATTTTGTTTTTTAAACTCATACTGGGGAATGTGGGTGCATGGCCAAAATTCTAAGAGGAGAATGGAGGAGAAGGGATTGTGGTGTGGCCATCCACATTGGGGTGTGATTTCTCGCTTTCTGTTTCTGTCTCTATAGTGAGTGCATGCACCCTGTACCAAAAATCTCTCCAAAAATTTTTTTATTTTTTTATTACTATTTTTTAATTTGCTATAGGGCATGTGCTCTCACTAGAGATAAAGAGAGGGAAAGTGAGAGAGCAAGCTGCCAGGTCTGGGACTCGAACTACAGTCAGCTATGTGTATGTCTAGCGCCTCCTTTTCATAATATGAATTTTCCATGAACTCTTTTTTAGAATTATTTAATTTTAAAATTTGTTCTTTTTCTTTTCTTTCTTTCTTTTTTAAGAGAGAGATTTTTGCTATAGGGTACATGCACTCACCAGAGAAACAGAGAGAGACAGAGAAACAGAAAGCAAGAAATCACCCCTCAGGGAAGGATGGCCATGTGGCAATCCCTTCTCCTCTTGGGACTTTTGGGCATGCACGCATATGCGCCCAGTGTGAGTTCTAAGCCTTCAGGTCTGGGACTCGAACTGCAGTCATCTATGTGGGAGTCCAGCGACATAGCTATTATGCCATCTGCTGTCCTCTTACTATTATTTTTTTAATTTGATGGGAGAGAGACAGAATGGGCAGAAATGAGAAAGCAAGCCGCCTGGCCTAGGATTCAAACTTCGGTTGGCGATGTGGGAGTCCAGCACCTTAACCACCACGCCACCTGCCAGCCCTGCCCATGAACTTTTTAAAATCCCTCTCGTATATGGACTTCCCACTTGTGTATTTTAACTTTTGTATGTGTGACATATAACACAGGAAAACATTATAAATACTTCTTTACTCACCATGTAGGTCAAGAAATAGAACATACATAATATTACCATACCTCTGTCAAAACACTTTTCAGTATTAAAAACATAACTCTCATGTAGTAAATACCTATCATATTTCTTTACCGTGATTAGGAGGGTATCAGCTGGGGATTAAAGTGGAGAATATGAGTGACAGAGGCAAATGCTAATCAGGGAAAGCAAGTGGTGGGTACAGTTAGTGACAGAACGAGTGATAGTTAATATCCCACTGTTACCAGTTTTATTTACCTAACTTTGAATGTTGGTAATTTTTTGTGTCTTGCATCTTTTGCACAACACTGGGTTTAAAGAGCATGTTTGCATGGAGTGGTAGTTCATTCTTG